CCTCCTCCTCCTCTTCCTCCTCCTCCTCCTCCTCCTTTCTTGCTTCTTTCTTCTTCACAGGGGTTCTCTGTGTAGCCTTAGCTGTCCTGGAACTCACTCTGTAGACCAGGCCTTGAACTCACAGAGATTCATCTGCCTCTGCCTCCCAAGTACTAGGATTAAAGGTGTGCACCACCATGTCTGGCTGACCCTGGATTTTTTTGACTGAGTATTTGTTTTAGTTCTACATCAGTTTCATTGCTTGTTATAGAACCATTCAAATTGCTTATTTCTGTTAAATTTTCATAGGTCATATGTTTCTAGAAAGCCATCCATTTCTTTTTCTGTCTTTTTTTAAGATTTATTTATTTATTTATTTATTTATTTATTTATTTTTATTCTGTATACAGTGTTCTGCCGGGATGTATGTCTGCGCTCCAGAAGAGGGCGCCAGATCTCATTACAAATGGTTGTGAGCCACCATGTGATTGCTGGGAATTGAACTCAGGACCTCTGCAAGAGCAGCTAGTGCTCTTAACCTCTGAGCCATCTTTCTAGCTTCATCCATTTCTTTTAGATGTTCCAATTTAGTGGAATATACATTTTCAAGGTTTGTCCTTAGGACTTTCTGAATTCTATTGGCAGTAGTTAGAAACCCCCTTTTACACTGGGGCTGCTTTCATTCTATCTCATAGTTTTGTTATGTTATGTCTTCATTTTTATTTAACTCTAAAATGTATTTCCTTTCTGATTTCTTCAGTAAGCCAGTTGTCTAATCTCCATGAATTAGTGGTTTTCTTGCTGCTGATTTTTAGCTTCATTTCATTGTGGTCAGATAAAATACAAGAAACTGTTTCAATTTCCTTGTATTTGCTGAGACTTGCTTTCTGTCCTGTAATATGATCTACCTTAGGGAAAGTTCTATGGGCTACAGAGAAGAATGTGTATTCAGCAGTATTTGTGTGGAATGTCTTGTAGATGTCTGCTAGCTCCATTTGATCTAAGGTATCCCTGAATCCAGATGTTTCTCTGTTTATGATTCATTGGGATGACATGCCTATGGATGAGAGCTGGGCACTGACATCACTCAGTATTCTTGTATTGGGTTTGTCTGGGTCTTGACCTCTAGTAGTGTCAGGTGCACTTGTGGCCAGTGTATATATGTTCATAACAGCAGTATTGTCTTATTAGAGTGTTCTTTTAGTCGGTATAAAGTCACTCTCTTTACCTCTTTTGACTAATTTTGGTTTGGAGTTTATTTTGTCAAATATGAGAATTCTCTTATAAATCCAGTCTCTGTAAAAACTTTTTTCTATTTTCATGTTTCTATTTTATTTATGTATTTATTTTACATCCTGACTTTAGTTTCCCCTCCCTCTTCTCCTCCCAGTCCTTTCCCCATCCCCCCCTCCCATCCACTCCTCCTCTGTTTCTATTCAGAAAAGGGCAGGCCTCCCATGGACATAACAAACATAACGTATCAAGTTGCAGTAAGACTAAGCATCTCGCCTTGTATTAAGTCTGGGTCAGGCAACCTAGTGTGAGGAATAGGATCCCCCAAACCAGAAAAGAGTCAGAAACAGCCCCTGCTTCCACTGTTGGGAGTCCTACAAGAAGACCAAGCTACACACCTGTCAGATATGTGCAGAGTGACTAGGTCAGTCCCATGCAGGCTCCCTGGTTGTCAGTTAGGTCTCTGTGAGCTCCTATGAGCCCTGGTTAGTTGTAAATCCAGCGTCTTAGTCTGTCTTCTAGGTGGGGAGTTGAGACGGTTGATGTGCAGCGTTCCCATTGAAGGGTGTGCATTGGCTCCTGTTGTGTTGTTGATCTCATGGTGATTGATGAATCCTATCTTTCCCTGGCTTCACTTCTCTTCTACCATCACCTGCTGTTTCCTGTGGTCTCAGAGAGTGTCTTTCTTTTCAGACCTCAGGATCCCTTTGAACATCTTTAGTAGAGCTGGCTTAGTGACCATGAATTCCTGGTCCACTCATGGAAAGTTTTCCTTTGCCCTTCAATTATGAGAGATAGTTTCATAGATAAAGTAGTCTGGGTTAGCAGTTATTGTCTTTCAAAGGTTGAAATACATCATTCTAAGGCCTCTTACATTTTTTTTTTTAGATGAGACAGTATATCCAGCTACTTGCTTCTATAAATTATAAATAACAACATTTCAGTGTACTCATAGAACTGTAAGATGTAGGTAAAAGAGATGTCTACCTAAAAAGAGATTTATTTTTTATTTGTGTGTGTGTGTGTGTGTGCCTGTGTGAATTTATGTATACTCTGTTAATGCAGATTAATGCAAGACAGTGTTAGATTCCTTGGACTTGAGTTACAGCTGGTTGTGAGCTGCCTGATGTGGGTGCTAGGAACCTTCTCTCTACCCTAGAAATTCCATTTTCATTTTCCAGAGAATAAACATGAAACAAATTGTATGTGACCAGTGTTTGTACTGTGCTTAATTGTTTGATTTCAGAATGCTTTATGGGAAAACCTCATTATTTCTGAACTGTGGAATTTATTTGATCTCTAAATATATTGAAAACATTTCAGAGGTAGTCAACTAATTAAACACACTTGCTTTTCTAGCTAGTTGCTTTTTTTGCTCTCTTTCCTTGCTTGACAACTTTTTATTATTTCCCTCTGGCAGGCTGTGTGGTTCCAGGGGCTGGAGCAGTTGAAGTCGCAATAGCAGAAGCTCTTGTTAACCACAAGCACCGTGTGCAGGGAAGAACTCGCCTTGGAATCCAGGCCTTTGCGGATTCCTTACTTATTATCCCGAAGGTACAACTGTCTCCTGGCCAGATAACAACTGGCTATACTGAAAGATCCTTGATTACAAATTGCCCATCTTGCCCAGCAGTTCACAGAGTTAGAAATGTGCTTATTTGCATTTCCTGTTGTGTTAAATATTTTACAAACCCAGCAGAACGACTGTAGGGACTGAAGCTTACGGTACTTTGGGAGCTCCAGGAAGCAGTCAGGTTTTCCTTGGGTCCAAAAGCACTGCAGAAAGTTCATTACTAACCAATCCTAACGAACAGTTTGGAACTTAAGTTTTGTTAGATTTTTATTTTTAACATAGATTCTTGTTTTGTTGGTGGCATCCAACATGTTATTACTTTAAATTGTGAGAAGAGAAGAACTTCAAATGTTTGGCGTTCCCAAACATGACCAGCTTGAATCTGTTGTAATTTTGAGACAAGGAGAGAGGCAGCGAGAGGACAGAGAACTGTCCTTCCTTGCTCTCTGCCTTCTGTTAGTTGTCAGCCATGTAGAAATATAGAAAGCTGTTTCCAGCACGCTGTTACCATGAATTAAACCATTATTAACCATCCTAGCAAAGACTTAAATAATTTATATCAGATTTACTCACAATTTGTGCGTTGCTTGTGAATCAGATGTCTATTTTTTTTCTTTCCTCCAAGCAGCAAAGTCGTTAAGTAATGATGTTGTTGACATGAATTGGTGGCCCTGGCACACAGTGGCCCTTTTCTCTATCAGCTGTCAGTAGGGAAATTAGGCTGGTATAGAGTAAGGCATCTCCATCCAAGCTGCTGTAGTTCATGGCCCTCCTTCTGAAGCCAAGGGCCACACAGTGCTGCGGATGCTCTGCTTCTCCCTAGCGAGTGCTGGGAAGAACAGGAGGGCATGCGGCTCAAAGGCCGGGAGAAACAAGAAGGATCTTAAATCTTTTCTAAGAAAAGAAAGAAGCTGGGTGTGGTGGCACGTGCCCAGTGCCTGCACTTGGGAGGGGAAGCAGGAGGGCGGGGAGCTCAAGGCGGCTCCTGATCCATGAGGGGAGAGGGGTTTGAGGCCAACCTGGACCACAGGATGCCTTGCCTGAAAAATATGTGGGAGTGGGGAAGTCTGGTCCTTGGAACTTAGTGTTCTGTACACAAGGGGAGCTGTTCAAGTATAAAACATGCTGGGGAGATAAAGCAATCATTTGGATTAGGTTGGGCATTGGATTCTTCTAAAGGAGATGAGCACTGTATTGTGATTGTGTTTTCACTTGACTGAAGAGTAGTACCTGACTTTTGTACTTGATTTTCAAATACATATGTGAAGGCACTCCACACATACTTATTGTTTTTTCATGAAGGTTCTTGCTCAGAATTCTGGTTATGACCTGCAGGAAACGTTGATAAAAGTTCAGACTGAACATGCAGAATCAAAAGAGCTTGTGGGCATAGACCTGAATACAGGTAAGAGATTGAAGGAAACTTAGCTTTACTCAGGAGATTGTTCTTCAAGAACCCAAATCTTATACAGAGAGTGGTAGGTTGGGACATTTTGTTACATCAATCTTGATTGCATCTAGCTTACTCCAAGAAAATATTTAATGTCTTTAGGTGTTTTTGCTTATGTGTATGTCTGTGCACAATGTGCATATAGTACCTGTGAAGCTCAGAAGAGAGCATCAGATCCTCTGGAACTGGCCCTGAACCTGGGTACTCTGCAAGAGTAACAAGTGCTCTTAATTGGTGAAACATCTTACCAGCCCTGAAACAAAAGAACTTTTAAATGTGGGTTCTGGGGACCAAACTCAGATTCAGTCCTTGTGTTTGTACAGCAGTTAACGACTGAACTATCGACATCTCTGGTCCTCTCTGCCCTCGCCAATGTTTAAAAAGATGTACTTATTGGATGCTTATTATTTGGATTCACACTGGGCAAAATAGAGCTTCTCTTGTAGTAAGTGAAAACAGGCAGTAAACAATAACTCTAACAAATAAATTATTTAGCATCTAAGAGAACGATAAACTTGAAAAAATAAAAGAGCAAAGTAAGGATGATCATGAATGCTAATTAAAGAAGGTAGGGAAGGAATGAAAATTACAACATTTGTACAGTATACACTAGGAAAATGTCTACTGGTGGAGCTGACGGAACTGAAGAGTTGGGCTGGGCAGCATTAAGTGCTCTCTCAGGACAAGGCACAGCCTGTGGGAAGGAAGGAGGTAGGAGAGGTGAGGTCAGATTATACAGTGGCATGTGGGCTAGTCCGAGAACTTTGGCTTTGGTTTTTTAATCCTTGCAGTGAAATGGGAACAATTTTGAGCAGAGATGTGACATGGTCTATTTAAAAGGATCACTCCGAGGCCGGGCGGTGGTGGCGCACGCCTTTAATCCCAGCACTCGGGAGGCAGAGGCAGGCGGAT